TGGCGGCGCGAGGTGGGGCGGCGGGCTGAGGAATCACGCCCCTGCTCCCCTGATCTCGCTCAGGCTCTTCTCGCTCTTCACTTTGCAGGTGGCTGTGGGATCCTGGCCTCGGAAGCACGCCGCTCTGTCCGGTGTCCGTCAGCAGAGCCTCTGACCCTGGCGGCCTCGCTTTGCACATTCTCAGGTAGGAGGGCTTCATTGACCCGGAGCTTGTGAGCTGGTGTCCTGCTTCATGGTTGCTAGCGGGCAGGTGGGCGGTGCTGGTAGTCCGTCCTCCATTCATATTTTGGCTTTGGGCAAGTTCTGTTCCCGGATCTCCTGGGTCTTGGAGCAAAGAACTCAGTCAGTGTGTCAGGTACCGCCAGCCTGCGGAGGAAGATACCCACGCGCCGCGGCCCTCCGTCTTCTAGTAGATTGCTGTCCCATCCAGGAAAAGGAGCGAAGTTACCTAGCGCCGGGTAGAGTTGATGGAGAGAAGAGAGAGAGTTCCACAGACTGATAGGCAAGGGCGGTGTGGGATGATCTTGAGGCTCAAAAAGTGAGTGACTGGCTCAGGGTCAGGAAGACCGAGGCTGAAGTAGGAATTGACTGTTCACCTCGGGGGTGGGGGCACCTCTTTCCTAGATTGCCAGAGGCACTCAGGCAGATAACATCTTAAGGTTTGTAGTTGGGGTGGGAGGTGTGGGTGGCACACTGGCTTCTGGGCATGTGACATGGTGTTTGTGGGCAGCCTGACACTAGCTTTGGGGCCTGGGGCCTGACTTGTGGGTACTGCCTTTTGAGAACTCACTGAGAGGCTGGATCTGGTTCATGATTATGGTGAGAATCCCAGGTCAGGGGCTGGGCTTTCAGGTGTGAGTCAGGGGTCTACCTGAGATGGTCAGAATGCTTGGTTGGTAGACTTAGGTGCTGGTGGTACTAGCAGCCAAGTGTTGCAAGCCACTTGGGAGGTGCTGGCACAAACATCAACTTTGCTGTACCTTTCTGGAGAAACTGACTCTGGGTCGGGGTAAACACATGGAAAACCAGATGTGAATATACTTGCTGGCCTTGGTGATCCTAAGAGAGAGAGAGCTCCAGGAGGGATAAAGCGGAGAGTTGAGAGGAGGTCTCAAGTGATATGCTTCTCTCTCTAGACAGACTGGAGTAGTGTGAGAGCCCAGAGGAGGGCTCCTTGTCCTGCTTCCTTGTGTGGCCTTGTGACCACAGCTTGGAATAAGGGTGGGTCCAACCATCAGAAGGAGCTCTGGCCAGGCGCTGGTGGTGACAGGAGGAGACCCCAAAGTGGAATTGCAGAATTTCACCTTTGGGGATTAGGGTGTCAGGTTATTGACTGGAATGAGGGTGAGAGAGGTGTGCTCAGGATTGGGTAGCTTTGCCTGCAGGTGGTCCCTGGAATCCTGAGAGCAGGAGGAAACAGACCAAGCCAGGCAACCTGCTCTGTCAGGTGTGCATGGTGCTGGATGGACAAAGATGTTTCGGCATGCACTGTTCTTAGTTTACAGTGTTCCTGCAGCCAGGAGCCCAATCATTCCACTCTGAAGGGTAGTCCATAGCCTGTGAAATGATTTGTGGTTACACTAGATAGACTCTACTGCCAGGTTCTGCTCCTCTGCTGTCATCTACTAATTGGTGTGTGGCTGCACACAAATCACTTTGCCACTCTTCCTTGGCAATAATAGCATCCAGCTTGTGGGTGGTCAGCATTCAGCACAAAAGGTACAAATAACAGTTGATACTGTCATTGCCCTAAACTTCCGTGAAGTTCTGGTCTAGCTCCTTTTAGGATTGGCAGCATCTGTTATTACACCTCGAAAGTCACAGGCAGCATTTGTCTGTTTCCTTTACCCTCCCAGGCCAGCTCATGGGTCCCTCCTTCCACTCAGAACAGCTAATCAGGTCCCTGAGGGTTTTCTGCCTGCTGCCTCCTCCTGTCAGCTCAGTGGTGATGGTTGGGCCTAGTCCCTGCTCTTCCCCACCTTGTTTTTGGACAGATTTCCTTGGATGATGGCCTGCATCCGATGGTCCCGGGACTCTTACCGACTCAGCTCCTCTGGCCCTCAGCATTTCTCTGGAATGGCAGTCTGCCACACCTTTCCAGCTGCTTCTTGGCCTGTTGTGTTGTGTCTGCCTCATCTGTCTGCACCAGGCCCCGAGTGGGCCCCTTCTCCCTCTACTCCTGGCACGCCTCATGGCAGGTGCCATTGGCAGAACCCTGGTAATCCTATACAGGTGGCAGCCAGTTTCGCCAGTGCACACCCTTGGCAGCAGATGGATGGTAGCTCACAGCATGACCCTTGGTGGATTTCTGGATTGAGAGGCCCTGCTGTGGGAACCCCATGTGTGTGTATACCACCATGAATCAGAATAGCACAGTTAATGATTCTTCTGGCAGTAAACCTACAAAAGAGGCCCTCCAGCTGGATGGATACCAGACCCCTGGCCCCTCGAGACAGACTTCCACTGGGTTCCTGGCTTCAACCTTTGATGACTTTCCATGGCTGCTAGACTGGGAGATTATATGTCTTCCACTTTGAACACTATCAGGAAAATTCAACTGTTTGAGAGCCTCAGTTGACTGACAGGCCTAGCCTACCTTGAGCCTAGGTGGCCCCCTACCTCAATAGGGACCTGCCCTTGCCTGATGATTATGAACTCTTCTGCCAGGATCTCGAAGAAATTATTCAAGACCCAAACAAACAGTTTTGTTGAGTACCATGCCACTGTCTCCTGTCCTCTGCCTTCCACATCAAGCCAGTCTGAGGCCTGCTTTACCTGCTCCCTCCAACCCCTGCTTGGTCCAGGCCTAACTCTATATCCAGAAGTTTTTGGACTGAGCAGCAGCTGTCAAGGAGAGCTGCCCTGTGCCCCAAGAGCCTGTGACCCAGTCTGGTTCTGCATATAGCCCTGATTGCAGTGCTGTGAGGCCAGCTGCCTCCCATCCAAAGGATGCAGACCCCAAACTAGTCTCAGTACTTTCAAAATCTGTTAACTCCTATTCCTGACGCTAGAGTTGGCTCATCCGGGGAGCTGAGAACCTCAGGAAGCATAAGAGTTCTGAAACCTAAGGGACCAGGGAGTATCTCTGGGCACCAGACATCCCACAAGAGCCACTGTCTGTTATGTTCCCTAGTCCTCTCCCCTGCATTCTGAGCATGCTCTGATGTGCAGCAGTGCTCCTGGTGATGAAGGGCTGTGCACAGTGCCGGGACCCACAGCATGCAGACAGCACAGTGGTGTCTATAGGTGACTCCACTGACCCATGGCTGGGTAACTAGACAGAGACACATGTGAGCTTGCCCGGCTCCTGCCAGAATGTGGGCCTGTGTTGGGCTCCTAGGTGAGGTCCTACCCCGCACCTGGAAGTGCTGTTCCACCTGGCCGGTTCCTACAGGAAAGTTTCTGTAGATCAGCCCCCATCAGACTATAGCACTGTTGCTAGATGCTACCCCCACAAAGAACTATGATGGTGTTTCTGGGCCATTGCCCTGCTGTCTGACCTGTGATACTAGACTACAATGGAAAGAAGACTGCTTGAAGGAAGCCACTGCTCCTTTTTAAATAATTTGGTTTTTGGTTTTTGAGACAATGTTTCACTATGTAGCGTTGGCTGGCTTGGTACTTAATATGTACCACCCTGGCCTTGATCTCACAACAACAACCCCCCCACCCCACCCCACCCCCACCCCGCCGCCGCCTCTTCCTCCTGGGTTTCCCTCTTTTTTATTTTTATTTTTTAAATAGTGTATCTATGGAGTATAATATAATTGGGTACATAGATGTATAATTATCCAATCTGGTGATTGCTGTTTTCTTTTCCTAAATGTTAATCATTTCTTTGTATGGGATTGTATTTGCATTCCCCTCATGGTTCCTTATAAAATATGAAATGCATTATTGTCACTTGTAAGTGTACGTTTTGCTATGGAGTTATTTAACCTTCATGTCTCCTCCTAGTCTTTTCTGTCCTGTTACCATTATCTGCCTTCTGCTTCTGCCAGATCAACTCTGATAGCTTCCATGTACAGATACATGTGGCATTTGTCTGTCTGTGCCTGGGCTTATTTTACTTAATAGTGCCTTTGGTTCCATGTTGCTTGGATTTGTTTTTGTTTTGTTTTGTTTTTTGTTTTTTGTTTTGTTTTGTTTTGTTTTTATGGTTAAAGAAGAATACCCAATTGTATGTATATACTGCCTTTTAAAAACCCACTCATTTGATATTGCACACTTTGGTGGATTTCATTACTTATGAGCAATGCAGAAGCAGCCATATTCATCCTTCTGAGGGATAAGATGACATCTTGGCTGAGAACCATACTTCCTGTAGGCTTATTCGAAGCCCTGGCCAGCTGGGAGGTTTGAATGCAGAAGGGTAGGAGCCAAGCCTCTTGCTAGGCTCAACTCTACTCATTCCCCCTTTTTCATGGCAACATTCTCACTACACCTGGTTATGCTTACAAAAGCCACTCCCTGCTTTGCAAGTGTGAGCTCGAGTAGGCACACGCACACATGCATGCACACACAGAGTACTCTGCCTCATTGATGCTTCAACACTTAAAGCCATATTGATGGAAATGACTTGTATCTCCTGGCAGATTGAGCTTCCTTGTCATGGTTTTGGCATAGATACGTGTCCCTGAAAACATTGCTGGTCTCAATAAATGGGAGTTGACTTACTGCTGAACTATGGTGACTGCTAACAGTCCTTGTTTTGTGAACAGAAGTTCTATACCCAGTTTGTCAGCAGAACACAGCAAGTGTTACAGGTGTGCAGTGGTGGTTCCCAGTGGAGGCTGTGAAGGTGAGAGGGTCTGATAGAAGGGGTAGGGAGCTAGATGGGGCAGGGAGTGCCAGGTGTTGGGTGGCCTTGAGATCTGATTTCTGAGATGCTAGGTAAAGAGAAGAGCAGGTAGCAAAGGGAATGTGAGGCCTGGGATTGGAATGAGGAAAGACCAGTTTTGCACAAGGATGAGTTTCTAGGGAGAGCTGAGCATGCAAACTCCTTTGAGCCAGATTGATCTGTGATGGAGACAGCCTCCTCATACACAGCATGTGCCTACTTAGACAAGAGGAGGAACCTTCCTGGACACTTAACAGAACCATAGATGGGAGATACAGCTGGCTGCTTTAGGAGAGGCCATGAGCAGCAAACATCTGGTGAGACTTGGAGCAGGTTGTTACATTGTTTGGTACCTTGCTAAAAAGATGTTTTGGGTTCAGGTGGTTTATTTGTAAATTATTTCTAGGCACAGAGTCATATACACAAAACAGCTGGGAATGTTGCTAACAAATGATTATGCAGTAACCCTAGGCTTCTGTTGGGTTTGCCCAGCTGTTCTATGATTGTTCACCGCTGGAAAGGACTGTTCTCTTCAGTTGTCTGGGGCCGGGCCTGCCTGTGGCTCTGATGGTAGGACCTGGAGTGGCTCTTTGGGACAATGGTCTAGTTACTCACTGGCCCTTGCCCTCTTGCTGGCCCCTAATAAATCTACCTTCCCACCTCTGGTGGAACTGAAGTGAACCCTTCTGCTTGAAATCACCATCATTCCTGCTGACCCTACTCTTCCTGGAGCATCTCTTGAAGGCTGGGAATGGTTGCAGGCCTATTGCTCTCAGCAGAGTCTGAGACAATGGGAGACTTTGTAATGCTGCAACATTTGAAGCACTTCGATTTTGGAATAGAGAAACAACAGTGAAGCAAACCATTTTAGAACCATATAGGTCGACAATTTAGTACATTATTGGTGGTGTTTCAAATGCATGTCAGTAAAACTGCTTTGGTAACCAGTGGCTTTCTGGAAAGTAGTGGAGCAGCATGCTTATATCAGTTGTGCCAGCACACACTCCAGATGGATTAAATATGACATTTTTTAAGGTAACAAAAATACTTGTTAGCTTCCTATTGTAACAAGGGCTGAATAATCAGTTTGTGAGGAGGAGAGGTCTGGGGTAACAATTTTGCAGGTTTTAGTCCACTATTTGTTGGTAGCTTATCATGGTGGCACCATGTAGCAAAACCATTCACCTCATGTCTAGGATGAGAAAAAAATGAAAAGAAGGGGCAGAGGACCCAGTATCCCCTTCAAGGACACTTCTGTGACTTGAAACCTTCCATGGACTCCACCTAATGTTCTACTAGCTCCCTGCAGAGCATTTAAGATCCAAACTAGAGCAGTTCTACAGAAAAAGTAGTTCTACAAGTTTAAGTTTTACATGTCCCAAATTGCCAAGGGTATGGCAGATGGGCTCCATCTTGCTGTTGATGGGGATATAAAATGCTTAGGTTTCACCATGTTAACAGTTTTAGGTATGTATATGTCTGACCACTTGCCCACGTGCAGGATCTAAGAGTGGAGTTGAATTTAGTCACACCTTGTTTCTTCACCTGACCTCTGTTAGGTGTAAGTTTGTCCTCACTGGGTGTCCAGGATTGAATGAGGATGCCCACTGTGCCCTGACTGATGCCTAAGCCCCTGTGACTTTCTGTCATTACATTATGAACAGCAAAATTAGAAGCTTTAAAGATCCAGCAGTAGGGACAGAGCAAGTAGAGCTGTCATTCTTACAGCTTCTGTCAGCATCAGCTAGAACTTAAAAATCTCAGTGCCCTGAGTGGGCACCTCATCGCTGCCCATCCAATGTTTCTGGGAGTGGACTGGATATGCTCTGCTTACTGCTGTACTTCAGAAACACTTATCAGCCTGTCTCCCATCTGCACATACTCCTGCATAGTCAATGATGTGGGAGCCATGGGTCACCCCACCTACACTACTGTGGCCAAAGGAAGCCACAGCTGCACCTGAGCTACAAAGGTCCTCCTCATGTGGGGTGGTGTCTAAGACACTGTTCTATTGGTGTGAAGTGACACTATGACCAAGGCAACTCTTTTAGAAGATAACATTTAACTGGGGGCTTGATTACAGCTTCAGAGGTTTAGTCCATTTTTATTATGGTGGGGAGCATGGTGGCAGGCAGGCATGGCGCTGAAGCAGTAGCTAAAGAAGTAGTTGAGAGCTATATCCTGATGTAGAGAAAGAGACTCGGCTTGGCATGGGCTCTTGAAGCCTCAAAGCCCACCCCCAGTGACACACTTCCTCTAACAAGGCCACATCTCTTAATCCTTTTAATCCTTTCAAATAGTGCCACTCCCTAATGACTACACTAAATGGAGGTTTCTCTGTCCTGCCCCGTCCCACAGCCGCTTTTAAATAATCACTCAGAGGCTTAATATTAATTGCAAAATGCTTGGTTGAACAGCTCAGGCTTATTACTAACTAGCTCTTACCTTTCTTTCTTCCTTCCTTCCTTCCTTCCTTCCTTTCTTTCTTTCTTTCTTTCTTTCTTTCTTTCTTTCTTTCTTTCTTTCTCTCTTTTTTTCCGAGACAGGGTTTCTCTGTATTACTTTGGAGATTGTCCTGGAATTCGCTCTGTAGACCAGGTTGGCCTTAAACTCACAGAGATCCGCCTGCCTCTGCCTCCTGAGTGCTGGGATTAAAGGCATGCGCCACCAACTCCCGGCTAGCTCTTAATTTTTAAATGAACTCATTTCTGTTAATTTGTTTTGCCACATGTCTTATGGCTTTACCTGTGCTCTAACATATCTTGTTCCTCTGGTGGCTGGCTGGCACCTCCCCGACTCCACCCTTCTTTGTCCCTGTATTCAGTTTGGCTTTCCTGTCTAGCTTTATTCTGCCTTGCTATAGGCCAAAGCAGCTTCTTTATTAACCAGTGAGAGGAATACATATTCATAGCCTACAGGAAAATTATCCCACAGCACTAAGCATTCAAATATATGAGCCTATGGGGGGCCATTCTTATGCAGACTATCAAGGTGAATTACTTAGTATTGAGCTGGGTAAGCAGCCATTCACATCGGAGGCAGCCATTGTGGAGAAAGGGTGGGCCTATAATCCACAGTGTGTGTGTTCAAACCAGAAATGTGTCTCCTCATGTTTCTGGAGTGGAGAAATCCAAGGTCAAGTTGCAAGTAGAGTGGTTTTTCCTAAGGCTTCCCCTTGGTTTGTGGATGGCCATCTTCCCTATGTCCTTGCCCAATTAATCCTTCTGAATGTGTTTCCAAGTCCTAATCTACTGGGACACCAAGCATGTTGGATCAGGTCTACCCTAAAGATATTTTACCTAAACTACCTCTTTAAGTACCCTATCCAAATATAAGCATTTTCTGTTGAAAGACCCCTGGAGGCTTAGGCCCCCAGGATCTCAGCCCAGGACCACCCCAATCACCAGGCGGAAGCGAAAGCTTGATGCAAACAGCAAGAGGGTTTTTTTTTTTTTTTTTTATACAAACAGCATGAGGCTTTATTGTAGTTGTTTAACAAGCTAACTCCATGTTAGCTCAGGCCTTTCATCCATCCACCATGGCAGATGGCTAGAAAAGACTCTGCAAAGCCACGGCATAGAGATCTTAAAGGGCAGTGTAAGGGGTCTAGGGGTATGCATAGGCTCAGGATTGGTGTGCCTCCAGGCTTGGAGGGCCTGCCCTGTGTTGATTGGTCAACTGGTTGTTATGGCCCATAGGCCCTCCCAGGGGGATTGCAATGCTCTGTGCGCTTGTCCGTAAAGCACACCCAGAGCCGTAAAGCATAGCACCACCAGCTAACTTCTGATTGGTTCCTTGTCATGAGGCAGGCATCTGACCTCCTAGTGACCAAGGCAAGGTCAGGCAAGCACGT